GTGAAGTCAATGACGCAACCTATGTCTAGTAATCAGATGGTCACACGTAACCCGGGGTCAAAAATAAAACAGGTTGTTACAGACTTTGTTAACAGTTTGAGGATTTATATCTTTTCTTTCATCATCATGTTTTATTTTCTATCTCGCTCCAAGTTGTATATTCTTAACTAAAATGTAGGCTTTATGCCTACAGAAGTCATCAGAATACAATAAAATACAATGCAATACAATCAAGGAAATTCGACTCGTTCAACGGTTTCGACATTAGCTAACTGTAAAATACTTTTCGAGGATTCGTGCCGAAATTATAAACGAGTGTTCGGAAACGCGCACTTCTTCAACAAGGAGTATGCATTCTTTCCAATAACCGGTAAGAAACTAGCAGTTTTACGTTCTCCATTGAGTCCTTTCCGTGTCGTACACCAAATCTCTGATCGACCGAGGCATTCTTTGATGTCAAGCGAGCAGGGTTGACTGTTCAGGTTCTCCAAATTACAAGAATCCATTTATTCAAAACGGCCGCAAAGCCAGTTGTTATGATTCGCACTCGGACTAGTAACTCATTCACGCATCGAAATCCGCCTGGTATTATGTAGTATTGGGAGTAGTATTCGAAATGGGGTTCCAGAATTCGCACAATACCAATCCCCGAAATAGAACAACTTCAAATCGAATAGCACACGAACTTTATTCGAATCGTATACTATGCATATTCAATGCATTTAAAGCGTACAATGAATTTCGAGGTCAGTGCCACACATCACACACCGCACTTTGAATTGACCACAGGATTTCTGTAATCCAGTCTGGGCTTGCACTCAGTCGTTCACATCTTCGTATGACTTGTTCATTCACACGTAATTCTTCCGTAGCGGCTTGTTGTTCAACATTCTGTTCATCAGTAGTAGCAGATTGCTCAGTATCTAAAGAAACATTATTAGACTCGGAACTTTCATCATGAATTGGAGCTGACTGACTTGGATTGTCAAAGCGAATTTGGTCCACATGTCTTCTGTGTATAGACAAATCATCCTTGTCAAGTAGTTGGAGCATTCTTCGACCTAAAGACTTTAGAACAATTCCTGAGGAGGGTCTTAGATCATTGCCACGGAAAAATACAACTTCAGAAGAATTAATACACAATAAATTGGATCTCAGATTTCGACCTTTTGAAAGTTTAGCAGGTGTCTCTTTAGTGGATGAATGAACAGAATTACGATACTGTAAAAGAAACAAATCAANCTTCGGACAGTATCATCGAAAATACAACTTCAGAAGAATTAACACAATAAATTGGATCTCAGATTGCGACCTTTTGAAAGTTTAGCAGGTGTCTCTTTAGTGGATGAATGAACAAATTGCGGTATTGTAAAAGAAACAAATCAACACCTCTTTCAAGTTCAGAAAATGTGGATGTATTCAAAGCAGTAATAGCAATTTTAAGTGTTCTAACAAAATTCTCTGCTTGCCCATTAAAGCAACGATGTCTAGGAGCAGTAAACAAACGTTTGCAGCCAATGTTATGCAGCCATTCTGAAACACTTTTCGTGGAGAAGTGATTGCCATTATCAGTAACAAGTACAGCAGGATTACCTTCCCGACTGAAAACTTTACGCAAAGCATGAATAGTAAAATCTGATGAAGGTGACTTAGTGAAAAATACCTCTGGCCACTTGAAAAAAGAAACAATTACAACAAGGGCACACATTCCATTGAGAAATGGACCACAATAAGCTGCATGAACACGTTGCCACGCCTCAGTTGAAACAGGCCACGGAACCCACTTGGATGGCAACTGTCGAACTTTGTGGTAGCATTTAGGGCAGCTCTTAGCTTTGGAACATATGTCGGCATCCATGTTCGGCCACCAACAACAAATTAATCGAGCCAGTGACTTCATCTTTTCTATCCCAAGATGGCCGGAAAGTAGGTCATCAAATACAGATTTACGCAACGTCGGTGGAATCAAAAGTCTGTCATTCAAGCACAGTAATCCATCAGGCGTAATTGAAAGTTCATCACGCCTTCTATAGTGATGTGGAAATCGCTTCCGGGTCTGGGCGTTCCAACCCTTCCGCAAAGCAGTCATCACAGCAGAGAAATAACGACGTGTGTGACGAATAATTTCTTGGTGGCTCACAGGGAGAGGTTGTACTGGTAGTGAATCAGAGATGTCCTCTGGGTCCGACGCAGGTAACGAGTGACGCGAAACGTAATCCACGTGTCGGATGTATTTGGCACTGCGATGTTCAATTGTGTAATCATATGCACTGAGTGCGATATTCTAACGCTGAACCATAGCTGCAGAGCTTCTGGAAAGGGATTTTCAAGGATCGAAAATAAATTTCAAGGCCTCATGATCGGTAACGATGGTGAAATGATGACCGAAAAGGAACTTGTGGAGGCGCTTGACTGCCCAGTATATCGCTAAGGCTTCGCGATGAGTTTCAGCATAGCCTCGTTCAGCTGCTGTTAACCGGTGAGACACACAAATAATTGGATGCCCATTCTGCTCAAGAATCACACCAATTCCATCGGGTGAGGCATCAGTAATAACAGTGGAATGAATTTAGGGATTGAATGGGTGAAGTACAGCATCAGTCTGCA